CACTAACAGAGCGAAAATCAGCCGATTACTCTTAGGTCTGATTTTCGGACAAAAAATCGGTCGATTTTCGACCATGTATGGCTGGCCCAAGTGAACAAGCTGAAGTTAAAAGCTGATTGACTCCCATGCACAGCTAAACAAAATTCTGAGTGCTCCAATTTTAGTAACCCCCCCCCCCCCCCCCATGTTTTATTAAGGTAGCGCTGTCAATTTATGCAGCACTTTTACATATATATTGTACATTCACATCAGTCCTTAACCCTCAATGGCTGTACAATCTAAGGTCCCTAACTCACATTCATACACATACTTGGACAATTTAGACAGGAGACAATTCACCTACCAGCATGTCTTTGGAGTGTGGGAGGGAAACCGGAGTACCAGGAGGAAACCCACGCAGGCACAGGGAGAACATGCAAACTCCAGGCAGATGGTGCTGTGGTTGGTTCGAACCAATGGCCCGAGTACTGCCAGGTGGAAGTGCTAACCATTTAGCCACTGTGCTGCCCATAGCCACTGTGCTGCTAACACTGACTTCATGTTTAATCAGACATAAGAGGTGGTGAATAGAATAGCCTGCAATACAATGAATGTCTCTAGAGGGTTTGCTCCCTAATTACTGATCAAATGGGGAAAGTGATTTTTTTCTAGCAATATGGGAATGCTTCTCTTTTGGGACGCTGTAAAAATAAAATCTTCTGTAGTTGTTATGGAAATATCACAGGCGGGCTGCAGTAGAGAAGTGAGAGTCTCAAAGGCATTTAATGTCAGGGTTATATAATCCATAAATGTCTGTTTACTGTTCTATGGGGAATGAAACCCGATCACATGATGTTACAGAATCATAAACAGTCTACATTATTATATAGGCTGAAGCAGGAACTCCGGGTGTGATGTCTCTCTGCTGAGAGCTACATACAGACGGGATGTATATATGCACAGCGTGATTAAAGTGCTTGTAAACCCTTACATACATTATACCAGTGAAGTGACTGGCCTCAATCGATACACAGAAATTAAACAAATCCTCCTAAGTTGTACCGGTTTATCTGCATTCTTCTCTTCTATACATCTATTCAGAGTCCAGAATTTATACAGCTTGTCTGCTTCCAGAAAGCAGGGGATGGGGAGCTGAAATCTGAAATTGTGCACTGCAGAGCTCAGTGAGAGCTGATTGGAGAGAAGAGACCCCCCCCCTCTCACACAGCTGAATCTGTCAATCACAGGGTGTGTGCTGAAGAACCCTTGTCAGGAAAACTTGTCGGAAGTGAATTGTGCTGATAGCAGAGGAACAAAGCAGCTGACAGAAATGACACTAATGCAGGCCGTACATGGGTCGAATTTCGAGCAAATTATCTTTAGAAAATCAGAAATGTAGTGTTTGAGCTTCAGAAAGCAGGGGGTGGGGAGCTGAAATTGAGCACTGCTGAGCACAGTGAGAGTTGATTGTAGAGAAGAGACCCCCCCCCCCTTCACACACCACATAGGAACAGAGCTGAATCTGTCAATCACAGGGTGTGTGCTGAAGAAACCTCCCCCATCACCTTTTTTTCTCTTGGTGTCAGGAAAACTTGTCAGAAGTGATTGGCTGATAGAGGGAAGGAAGCAGCTGACAGAAATGACACTAATGCAGGCTTGTACTTGCGTCAAATTTTTAACAAATTTTCTTTAGAAAAACAGAAATGTAGTGTTTGAGCTTCCAGAAAGCAAGCGGGTAGGGAGCTGAAATTGAGCACTGCTGAGCTCAATAAGAGCTGATTGGAGAGAAGAGACCCCCCCCCCCCTTCACACAGCTGAATCTGTCAATCACAGGGTGTGTGTGAAGACCCCTCCCCCATCACCTTTTTTCTCCTATTGTCAGGAAAACTTGTCGGAAGTGATTTGTGCTGATATAGCAGAGGAACAAAGCAGCTGACAGAAATGACACTAATGCAGGCCGTACATGGGTCGAATTTCAAAAATTATCTTTAGAAATCTGAAAATTGTGAGCTTCCACAGGGGGTGGGGAGCTGAAATTGCGCACTGCTGAGCACAGTGAGAGCTGATTGTAGAGAAGAGACCCCCCCCCCCCCCCTCACACAGAGCTGAATCTGTCAATCACAGGGTGTGTGCTGAAGACCCCTCCCCCATCACCTTGTTTCTGGTGTCAGAAAAACTTGTCAGAAGTGATTGTGTGCTGATAGCAGAGGAACAAAGCAGCTGACAGAAATTACACTAATGCAGGCCATACATGGGTCGAATTCCAAACACATTTTCTTTTAGAGAATCAGAAATTCAGTGAGTTTTGTAATCCAATGAAGACACCAACCAAGATCTCAATTTTACCTTCTTTTGTGGCCAAGAGTTTTCTTTTCTTTCCAGGTCACAGCTCACGAATATTTCTTTTTCGTTTATATTTCTCGCACGATTCTCCCATCCTTGATTTGAAATTCATTCGTTTTTCAAAAAATTCCCAATATGCCCGATCACTCAAATTCGATGGTCACACAAAAACTGGCCATTTCTGTGGCCTACTGCGAAATTTGAACGAAAATTTTTTGGGAGTTTTCAAAAAAAAAATTCTAATCGGAATTCGACCCTTGTGGCCCACTATTGGTGAGAAATTCGAACAAAAAGTCTTAGAAAAGATTTGCGAAAGAAAATTCTTTTGGAATTCGACTCGTGTATGGCCGGATTTAGGGGTTGAATTACTAAAACTTGAGAGTGCAATAATCTGGTGCAGTTGTGCATGGTAGCCAATCAGCTTCCAACTTCAGCTTGTTCAATTAAACTTTGACAATAAAACCTGGAAGCTGATTGGTTTCTGTGGAGAGCTGCACCAGATTTTGCACTCTCCAGTTTAAGTAAATCAACTCCTTAGTGCTCTGGACTGAGACAAGTACACACTATAGAGGGATATGCTTTGTTCATATTTCACGTCTGAGGTTTACAACCACTTTAAATAGTAGGTAGGATCCATATTTATAGCAAGCATGAGCAATAAACAATAAAGTATGAATCTCACTAAGGCTTCATTCGACTTGTGGCTGGGGAGAAGGAGGTAAAAATAGGGCTGCAATTTTATTTAAACTACAACGGTGGTCAGATGGGGTGGTACACATGTTGTGGCCACGATGCTTAACTTCACGAACACAGCAAAAATTACACCCCATGGTGTGTCCAGCCGCAATTACCGCCAGCAAACTCAACCTTTTCAAGTGAACAGGGTTGTGTTGTAACCAGGGGCGGACTGACAACTCATGGGGCCCCCGGGTAATAGGGGATCATGGGGCCCCTGTGTCCTTGCCCAAACTCAAAAACGCCTATGAAAAAGGTACCTGGGGCATCTCATGGGGCCCCCTACTGACCCCGGGCCCTCAGGCATTGCCCGAGTTTCCAAATGGTCAGTCCACCCCTGGTTGTAACTGCCATACAACTATGTGTAATGTACGGTGTTGCAGCGTGGTGGTCCAGGTATACACTCTGAAGTAGGGATGCACCGAATTTTCGGCCACCAAAACATATCAGCCAAAAATAGCCCTATCGGCATTCTGCCAATAGGAACAATTTAGCCAATACAAGTGCCGATACAGGGGACTATGTGTACTGCAGATGTGAGGGGGGGGGGGCGGCTGAGAGGAAGGAGAAGAACAGTGTATACAGTGACTGGCTGTCAGTGCCAGTTTTTAAATGCAATTGCCGGCTTTTTTTTTCTTCATTATAGTTTACAGAATTAGCTGTCATTTTCCCCCCAGCTAAAAGAAACAAATTTTTCTTTTAGTTTCTTTCCCCAGATAAAAGCAACAATGTTTCCTTTAGCTCCGGGGAAAGTGACAGCTAATTCTGTGAGCTATAGTGAAGAAAAAAAAAAAAGCCGGCAATTGTATATAAAAACCAGCACCGACCTATAGTGACAGCCAGTGAGGGAACCTCTCTGTTTACACTGCTACCTCACTGTATACACTGCTCCTCTCCCTCCCCCTCCTTGCACACACTGCCCCCCTCCCCCCTACAAAGAGGACATGTCACTCATATGCTATCACATAGGGGAGTATTGGTCCTCTATGTGATAACAATAAAATCATAAGTTAAAAAAAACAAAAAAATATACATGAAAGTAGAGAAAAAATAAAAAAAATTGGAGCCTCCCCACCTCCCCATACGCAGACTTTTCGGTATCGGTTTCGGCCACATGCATTCTGAATTTTCGGTGTCGGTTTCGGCACCAGAATTTTCATTTCGATGCACCACTACTCTGAAGACTACCAAACTACATCCCTGTATGTTATAGGGAACGGAAAGAGGGGTAGAATGCTTTATTCCTATCCTGGTTGTGGTGTACTGATACAATAGATTGAGTGTTGTCAGCTTACGACAGAAAGTGTGTTACTGGCAGGATCAACAGGTGAAAATAAAGGGGGAAAAAAACCTGAAAAAAGAAAACAGATGCAGCCACCACATCTAAAGACGGGTAATCTACAATATATTAAATTTTTGGTTTTGAGTTTAGATATGCATTAATTGCATTAGGGGTTTATGATTTGTATCAGATACAATATTATATAACAAATGCTGTAAAAGGGCACGGTGCTGTTGTCTAGAAATAGAAGGATTATAATGTGCTGGGAGCGTTCTAGAACAGGCAATGTGACACGTATTGAATCATGCCACAATACAAAAGCCGACACATGGCTGTGAATCACCCTGACAAAACAGAATCCATGGACCTGCAGGCCTATTCAATACGAAAGATCAAGGATAACGTGCAAAGAGATGTAACTTATAGCAACTAGCCCCCATAAATTACTAATATTTGTACAATATCACTTGTGTACAAGGAAAATACTCCACTTCAAACAGAAAGCAAAAAAAAATTATTTCACCCCCCCAGCGGTATTCCCGAGTGTAGCTCGGGGTAATGTTTCAGTACCACAAGCGGTAACCCCCGAGCTACAGTCGAGCTTACCATGCGGCGTTGCTCCGGGATCTCTTGGTCACTTACCTTGTCCTGCGCTCCCGCGATGTCCCTCCTGCAGTGTCCCCTGTAATGTCCTCCAGCCGATGCCGGCATCTGTCATCTGGGTTCCGTCCCCTAAGAGCGTCGGGACGTACGGGGAATGGAACTGGCGGGAAATTTGAACATGACAAAAAGTAACATTCATTAAAATCACATAGTAAAACATTACTGTATCAAACCATTTGACATACATTTTGTCCCGAGTGCTTTGTCCGGCGCCCTGCCTGCATTTTTACTGTTCTTTCTGCCTGGAAACTGAGAAACGTGCATGGCGTCCAAAAAGCGTCCCTTTAGGTCAAAAGCGGTTTTAGACCAGCTAGAGAACAGCGATAGTAAATCAGAACCACTTGCAGAATTGAGTGATAATGATTCGTGGGGAAATTCATCATCAGACATGGAAATGATTCTGAGACTTTGCTCAGCGATGTGCGAACTTGGCGCTATATTTCAAATTTCAGTGTTTTGGTTTGATTATATTATTGAAATAAATTTATTTTTATATTTTTTTTTGATGATTATTTATTAAATTATAATTTATGATTTCGTGTTTCAAATTTTATCATACCCGGGATGTTTACTAGACTCTTGTTCGGACAGATTTCAGTGAGATATTCCTAAAAATTACAGGCCTACAATAAAAAAATTACATATTTCCATGCAAAAAAATTGTACTGCTTTGAGCACAGAAATATGGACATAATCAGACCGCTAAGGATGTTAAGATACAAATCGATGAGCCATAACATTGTGACCACTGACAGGTAAAGAGAATAACAATGATTATCTTGTGACAATGGCATCTGAAAGTGGAAAGGATATATCGAGCAGCAGGTGAACATGTTGTCCCTGAATCTGATCTGTTGAAAACAGTCACCAAAGATCCATTATCTCCTGCGCTCAAAGACTCAGATCAAACGGGCATTAGTAACAAGCAGCATGTTCAACCGCTGGTGATCAGAGGTTGTGCAGCTCTATCATGAAGCTGGGGAAGCTTGATAAAACTGTAGAAGAAGGTGAAAGAAAGAGCGCACAAACCTTGCGCATTACCTCAATAAATAGTGACTAATTTTATTATTAAGGAAATATACTCACAAAAGTGATGGTATAACAGGCATAAGTAACCATAATCCACACAGGGTTACAGGTAAATCCAAAAGGGGGGGAGAATGAAGCCTAACGCGTTTCGAAGGGTGCTCCCTTCTTCATCAGAGCTGGGTTGAGCAGATAGAGACTTCAGTATGGCAGAGTTCCCATGGCAAGGAGACATTCAGCCACTGAGTGTCAGTATTACAGCAGTTCAGCCTGTTTAGTGAACTGCTGTAATACTGACACTCTGATGAATATACCATCACTTTGTGAGTATATTTCCTTAATAATAAAATTAGTCACTATTTATTGAGGTAATGCGCAAGGTTTGTGCGCTTTCTTTCATCTCCTTCTGATGTGTTGAAAGCAGAGATTTGAGCAACTTTGACAAGAGCCATTATGTACTGGTTGGAGCAACTCCAAAACTATAGCTCTTGTGGGATGTTTTCGGTTAGCAGTGGTCAGGATCAACAAAAAAGTGGTCCAAGGAAAAAAAAATGGTGGACCAGTGAAAGGGTCATGGGCAGTCAAGGCTCATTGTTGAACGTGGGGAGTGAAGGCTGGCCTGTGTAGTCTGATCCAATAGAAGAGCTACTGGAGCTCAAATTGCTAAAAAAAAGTCCATACTGGTTCCGATAGTAACAGAGTCTCACAGTTTGTTGTACATGGGGCTGTCTGCACCTATATGGGGAGGATGCAGCTCTTTTGGGTGAAAGGATTGGCAATAAATTAGAAGCCCTATGAAACTAGGTGTTGGTGGTGATGGTATCAGAGGAAGATATTCTGGCCATTGAACAAAGGTCAGAAAGGACTACGGTGGTCAATATGTACTGTTAGACTTACGTGGAGTATCTAAAATCAACACGTGTGGGATGGCAAAATCTCACTGCAGCCTCAGAGCGAACAGGGGTAACATAGCATGCGGCCATACAAAACAAAAAGGCATGTTCACCAGTGCTAGAAGTCTGGGGAACAAAATGGAACAACTGGAATTACTGATCCATGAGGAGGATTTTGACTTTGTGGGAGTAGCGGAGACATGGTTTGATAGAACACACGAATGGCTTGCAACTGTCCAGGGGTACTCCCTGTTCCGAAGGCACAGGGTAGGTAGAAGAGGGGGAGGGGGGTGCATGTACATCATGATGATATGTGCTGGTGAACATGAGGGATGATATCACCAACGGGGCAATGGAGGGGGTGGAATTCCTAAGGCTGGAGCTTCAAAAGGAAGGAACAAATGGGAAAATAATAGTGGGAGTATGCTACAGGCCTACCCTGAAGGATGAAGCTAGAAATGGTGGCGAAGCAGGGCAATGTTATCATAATGGGGGACTTTAAAGAGGTGGTAAACCGCAGCTTGAAAAAAAATCCCTTGCAAGGTAATGTCATAATGTGCTAGTATGCATTGCATACTAGCACATTATGAAGGACTTGCCTTAACCTCCCTAGCGGACTGATTATGTCAGTATTTCTGTGCTCAAAGCGGTACATTTTTTTGCATGGAAATATGTCGTTTTTTTATTGTAGGCCTGTAATTCTTAGGAATAACTCACTGAAATCTGTCCAAACAAGAGTCTAATAAACATCCCTGGGATGATAAAATTTGAAACACGAAATCATAAATTATAATATAATAAATAATCATAAAAAATAATAATATATATAATAAATTGAATTCAATAATATAATCAAACCAAAAACACTGAAATTTGAAATATAGCGCCAAGTTCGCACATCACTGAGCAAAGTCGCAAAATCGTTTTCAGTGTCTGATGACGAACTTCCCCCACAAATCATTATCACTCAATTCTGCAAGTGGTTCTGATTTACTATCGCTGTTCTCTAGCAGGTCTAAAACCGCTTTTTACCTTAAGGGACGCTTTTTGGACGCCATGGACGTTTCTCAGTTTTCAGGCAGAAAGAACAGTAAAAATGCAGGCAAAGCACTTGGGACAAAATGTATGTGAAATGGTTTGATACAGTAATGGAATACTATCAGATTTTAGTGTATTTAGTGAATGTCACTTTTTAAAATTTTTAAATTTCCCGCCAGTTCTGTCCCCCGTACGTCCCGACGTCGCAGGGAACGGAACCCAGAAGACAGATGCCGGAATCGGCCGGAGGAGATGGCCGGGGACGCTGCAGGAGGGACATCCCGGAGCAACGCAGCAGGGTATTCCCGAGTGTAGCTCAGGGTTACCGCTTGTGGTGCTGAAACTTTACCCCGAGCTACACTCGGGAATACCTCCAGGGAGGTAAAAATGAAGCCCTCTGCAGGAGATTCCATCTTCACTCGGTCTTCCTTCCAGGTTTGTGAGCTCCGGCTATCTGACTGGGCGAGCTGCCACGACGTCTTTCCCGCACATGCGTGGGAATCCCAGGCCATGGCACAGTGCTCTGAAGGAACAGCGTGGGTATGCCATTCCTTCAGAGCGCATGCCCTGACTCTGAAAAAGAGCATATACCTCCTAAACGGTGCATGTTTAGGAGATATTATAAGCTTACCAGTAGGTAACCACTTTAATTACCTAGATATTGATTGAGCTGCTCACTCCTCTAAGGTTCAACACTTCTGAAATGTCTTGTGGGGCTATTTTATGAGTCAGGAGAGAAGTAGAAGATATGTATAGGAGGCATCAATGGAGGAGGCTGTGGACCGAGAGATGTCAGCTGGAGATGGAGGAGACACTGGACAACAAGGCATCGGGCAGCACTTCTAGGAGTGTGCTATTTTATGTGTCAGGAGAGAAGTAGAAGATATGTATAGGAGGCATCAATGGAGGAGGCTGTGGACCGAGAGATGTCAGCTGGAGATGGAGGAGACACTGGACAACAAGGCATCGGGCAGCACTTCTAGGAGTGTGCTATTTTATGAGTCAGGAGAGAAGTAGAAGATATGTATAGGAGGCATCAATGGAGGAGGCTGTGGACCGAGAGATGTCAGCTGGAGATGGAGAAGACATTGGACAACAAGGCATCGGGCAGCACTTCTAGGAGTGTGCTATTTTATGAGTCAGGAGAGAAGTAGAAGATATGTATAGGAGACATCAATGGAGGAGGCTGTAGACCTGAGAGATGTCAGCTGGAGATGGAGAAGACATTGGACAACAAGGCATCGGGCAGCACTTCTAGGAGTGTGCTATTTTATGAGTCAGGAGAGAAGTAGAAGATATGTATAGGAGACATCAATGGAGGAGGCTGTGGACCGAGAGATGTCAGCTGGAGATGGAGGAGACATTGGACAACAAGGCATCGGGCAGCACTTCTAGGAGTGTGCTACTTTATGAGTCAGGAGAGAAGTAGAAGATATGTATAGGAGACATCAATGGAGGAGGCTGTAGACCTGAGAGATGTCAGCTGGAGATGGAGGAGACACTGGACAACAAGGCATCTGGCAGCACTACTAGGAGTGTGCTATTTTATGTGTCAGTTGGTGGTTGCCCCAAAAAGAAACAAAGCTCTGCTCGACTTACTAATCACAAAAAACCCAGAGCTGATAGCGGACGTGGAAGTAAGGGATATCTTAGGAAACAGCGTCCGCAGAGCAACTACATTCACTGTCAGGGACAAGAAAAGCAGACAACAGGTTAGGACAAGCACATTAAATATCAAGAGAGCAAACTTTACTAAACTGCGCTCTGTACTGCAAGACATTAAATGAGAAGATATTCTAGAAACAAAAAACACAGAGGAAAAGTGGGAGTGCTTGAAGCATATTTTAATTATTGGCATTAGCCAGTGTATTCCAATAAATAAAGCAACAAATACAAAAGAACTAATATTAAATCTGGGTAGCTAAATTCAAGTGTAAAAAGGCACATTAAAGAGAAAAAATTGTCTTTTAAAAATATAAGGCAGAGGGGACACCATCATTCCAGAAGTATAAAGAACGCAAAAAGAAATTTAAGAGAGTGATCATAGCAGCAAAAACAAACCACGACAAACATAACAGAAGAGAGCAAAACGAATCCCCATAAAAGATGATCAAGGGAAGTTGGTCATAAGTGTCAGAGAGAAGACAACTGTATTAAATACATTCTTCTCCTCAGTTTTTACTATGGAAAAGAAGGGGTACAATAGACAAGACGGTATTGTTAGCAACACAGCAGAGACTGTACCCTTGTGACAAGTGTTCTAAAAAGACTGGAAAAATCCTGATCACTTGTCCAGAGTAGTTCAACGTTACTATGGTAACATTGTATTGCTTTGGTCACAGTATGTTGAAAAAAAAAATAGTAAAAAAAAGAAAAAATAATGTAATAATAAAAAAAAATTTGAAAAAAAAATTACAAATTATTTTTATTATTTTCACCAATGAAATGTAGCAGAATACATTTTTACCTAAATTTATGAAGAAATGTTATTTATTTGCAAAATTTTATAACAGAAATGAAGAAAAGTGCGGGTTTTTTTTTTCAAAAGTTTCAGGTTTTTTTTTCTTTTATTTAGTAAAAAGTAAAAAACTCAGTGGCGATTCAATACCACCAAAAGAAAGCTCTATTTATGTGAAAAAAATTATAAAAATTTCATATGGGTACAGTGTTGCATGACCACACAATTGTCATTCATATTGCAACAGAGCTAAAAGCTGAAAATTGGACTGGGCAGGAAAGGGGTAAAAGTGCCCGGTAGGCAAGTGGTTAAATGGTGTAGAGGGTTTTTTACTGTTAGAGCAGTAAGGATGTGGAACTCCCTTCCACAATTGGTGGTTTCAGCGGGAAGTTTCACTAATTTCAAAAATGGGCACCTTACTGAACACAAAATACAGGAATATGGGAAGTGATGGAGACATACACACACAAACACACCGACACAGGTTGAGTCTTTAACCGCATGCCGCCCAGCCACTGTACATATACGGCGGTAGGGCGGCACTCACAGGCAAAACCACGTTTTAAGACGTGTGTTTTGTAAACAAATAGGGGGCGCGCGCGAGGCGCGCCGCCGCCCTATTTGTCCCGCGGATCACTGCCGCAGATGTCAGTCGCCGGGTCACAGCCGCTCCTTAGCGGCTATGTCCCGGCGATCGGCGGCAAACAGTGACAGACAGCACAGCTGCAGTAGCTGTGCTGTCTGTCACTTCCTTCTCAGCTCGAGAATGAGCTGATCAAGAAAGAACAGTTTCTCTTTCTTGATCAGCCTTGTCCCTCCCAGCACACAACCCCCGCCCCCTAGTAAAATACTCCCCTCACTCCTATAACCCTTCCCTGAAAAATAAAGTTAACCCCTTCCTCCCCATTGCCATTAGTACAGTGTCAGTTTTTTTTTTTTTTGCACTGATCACTGTATTAGTGTTTTTGGGGATGTCAGTGACCCCAAGTCAGTACCCCCCAATGTCAAAATGTCCGCCGCAGTCCCGCAGTCCCGCCATAAGTCGCTGGTCGCTGCCATAAGTCCCTGATCGCCGCCATAATTCGCTGATCGCCGCCATTATTAGTATAAAAAAAAAAACCCTAAAAATCCCAGTATCTTTCCCGCCATTTGTAAACGCTATAACTTTCACGTAAACCAATTAATTTACACGTATTGGGTTTTTTTTTTTAGCAAAGACATGTCGCAGAATGCATTTTGGCAGAAATTTATGACTAAATTTGATTTTTGCATTTTTTTTTTACTGGACATGTTTTATAGCAAAAAGTCCAAAATATTGTTTTTTTTTTCCTCAAAATTGTTAGCCTTTTTTTTTTTATAGCGCAAAAAATAAAAACTGCACAGGCGATCAAATACCACCGAAAGAAAGCTCAATTTGTGGGGAAAAAAAGGATGTAAATTTCATTTATGTGCCGTATTGCATGACCGCGCAATTGTCCGTTAAACTAGCGCAGCGCTGTATAGCAAAGAAATGGCGTAAATTGCAGTATTTATACCATAGTTTGTAGACGCTATAACTTCCACAAAAAGCAATCAATGTACACTTATTGGGATTTTTTTTACCAAAAACATGGAGCAGAATACATTTTGGCCTAAATTTATAACCAACTTTGAGTTTACTATATATTTTTTATAGCTCAAAATAAAAAATATTGTTTTTCTTCAAAATTTTTGGCCTTTTTTTGTTTATAGCGTGAAAAATAAAAAGCGCACAGGTGATCAAATTACACCGAAAGAAAGCTCTATTTGTGTGAAAAAAAGGACGTAAATTTCGTTTGGGTGCAGCATTGCATGACCGCGCAATTATCAGTTGAATTAGTGCAGCGCAGAGTAGCAAAAAGAGGCGTGGTCATTAAGGGGGGGTAAATCCTCTGGAGCTCAAGTGGTTAATCAATATTACCAACTATGTAACTATATTACAATGTTATGGCTGATCAGAGTATTCGCATTGTAGAGTTCTCATCTACAGACTGAATGCCGGCAAACCTAAGCCTTCATGATTACTTTATGATTTGGAATAAATACTTGCAACCTTGAACTGGCTGGTACTTTAAACACACACTGTGTAATTTACATTGTCCCTTCTATTTCTGTATATGGCTGATGACACTGCAATTATTTTAATTTAAAAAAAATATCTAAATACCTTTTTCCTAATCGATATACACCTGTCACATGACACAGCCTGTCTGCAGGGACACATAAGCAGGAGGAGCTTTTAGTCCTCTGCTGCTAGTCACATGTTAAAAATAAAAAAAACAGCCTTTGGGATACAGACTAAAATAAATACTATCAATAAAATGTTTTAAATTGCCATATAAATATAGACTTGAAATAAAATCTTTATTTTTTAGCAATAATACATGTGGGCCAATTTCTGCCAGTCACTGGCTATCCCACACCTTTCCAGCCTGTGTCTTTGAATAACATAGAGGTGAAGCCTCCATCAATCAAGATGTAATATCCCATTCCCATTGTGTTTAGTTGGTTAGTGGGCATGGAGGAGGAGGAGGGAGGGAGTGGAAGTGGACTAGAGCGGGGAGACAGAGAATAGCAGGATCAACCAGCTTTTTGTAGAATACAGCAAATGAATCTCATAGTGGCTGAGTGAGTATGAACAGCACGTTAATGATGTGGGTTTAATGACACTATAAAGGATTGAAGTGAGCTGCTTGAAGCTGACTGAAAGCTTTTAAAATACTTTGTAAATGCTTGCTGTGCACATTGCTCTGCAGGTAAGTGTTTACAAGCTGAG